ATTGTGTGGCAGCTAAGCATCGGTAGAATTATCGATGTACTGCTGTCTATGATGATGATGATATCTGAACTCCTGTTATTCTAATGCTACTGTAACTACATTAATCGAGACAACACCATGGCAAATGCCATTTTCTGTTCTAAAGAGTTGCATCCACTTAAAGATGCCCTTAACATATGACAATTTAGTTACAAGGCAAACATCCCTGCTAAGGTAAAGAACACAAAATTTACATTAGGTTTTTATATTGAATGAATTTTATTTATGAGATTACAAAATTATAGGCAGCTTTCTAACTTAAATCTGAGGCATCAACTTTGTCACATTCTGCCCATGTGATATTCAGCTTTTACAGAAAGTGAAAATCAAATTATATTCTTAACAAAAAGTGCTATTATTTAGTACTAGCAAAATACTGTAAAAGAAAGTCCTAAAAGTTTTGTTTTCAAACATTAATATTCTTTATTCTTCAAATAAGATAGAACCGGACTTTTCTGTTTCCTCTAAAGTGTGTCAAACTATTGTAAATTCAAAGTATTAAATTCCACTGTCCCTCCCATACTAAAGCACACAATAAAAAAAATGAATAATCCAAAATGAAACTACACACACGTTGACATTGTACGTTAGTTTCTGGTTTTGAATTTCATTTTAATTGAAACAAATGTTCTATTAATTACATTAATACAGTGTTAAAGCTATTAAGCAGGGAATTGTCAATATTTACAGTGGTCTGTGTAAAATGTATTAAAACTTATAAGTGGAAACAAGATTTGTAACATTACCTACCTGTAAATTTTTCATGGCCTTTTGTCAAGCAATATACATACATATGATAAAATCACATGCTTGGCTTCAAGGATCACCTGTTATGCCAATCCACAAAATTTAGTTGTAACTGACATCTCAAATTAGACAAGTTGAGGTGTTTGTATCATTAAATATTCTAGTTACCTTCAAAAGTTTTATGTTTCTGTAAAAGCTTTGTAGTTATTCACATAAAAAATTAAAGGGAAGAAAATTGAGTTTTATTTTAGAATAATATTTTTTTATTTTGACATTGTACTTGATGTTTATCATCAAATAACATGGCTTTGCCATATGTTGTTGCTAATTTCAAGGACTGACCTGGATCTGATGTTAAGAGGTATGTATACAAGTTTCTTTTTCTCCCCCCCCCTCTCTCTCTCTCTCTCTCTATATATATATATATATATATATATATAAAATATGTGTGTGTGTGTATGTATGTATATGTGTTTAAAAGTCAAATAAAGCTGAATATATGGGTTTAACTACTATGGAACAAACTATTTTACCAGGCCACTAGACAAAATCTACAAGTATTGGATCAAATCAAGGAGTAGCATAAAAACAACTCTACGTAGAAATGAGCATCCAGTGGACTTTAATTGCATCCTTTCTCTATGGAGAAATAGCAGTTGTTGGTTTACTTTTACTTCCTTTTATTTCTTCATTAAGGTAAGTAAATTTTGTTTTTTACATGCAAAAGTAAATAAATAACCAATGATGTATCTCTGTTTAAACATATGTTTAGCATGACCTTATACAACGTAACATAATGTTTCTGGACACCAAGGGACCTAATGGCCCATCTCTGCTGTCCCATCCTCTTAACTAAACTCAAACTATTAAATTATTAAAAAGAAATCTCAAAGCCAACCCTTATCATTGAAATAGTTATCAAGCTTTCTCTTAAACTCACTTAAATTTGCTGCCTCCACATCATCCAAAGGCAACCCATTGCAAAGGCCAACCACCCTGTTAGAAAAATAAAACTGTTTTAAGTTTACTCCTACTCCGTTAAAATTTATATTTGTTTCACTCAGTCCTACCATTCTCACCATAAATTATGAGAAACAATGATGCATCAACATTATCATTTTCTTATCAATCTAAAACACCTGAATCAGATCCTTTCTAACTCTTCTTTTTTCAAGATAAAACAGTTTCAGAGATTTTAACCTCTCCTTGCATGACAACCCCCTCCATCCCAGGCATCATTCAAGTAACCCTCCTCTGAACCCTTTCCAACAATTTAATGTCCTTCCTGAGGTAAGGAGCCCAGGACTGAACACAATACTCCAAATGTGGCCTAACCACTGACCTATAAAATGAAAGAATAACCTCTTTAGACTTGTATTCAGTATTTCTGTGGATACAACCTAAAACCCTGTTTACTCTACCAGTAGCAACAGCACACTGCTTGGATGGCTTAAGAGACTGATCAACCATTACACCAAAATCCCTTTCTTTCCTGACACTTAAGGTTATTCCCATCCAAATGATACTTATAATTCAAATTATGATAACCCACATGCATTATCTTACATTTATTGTAGTTAAAACCCATCTGCTATTTATTTTCCTAACTTGCTAAATGATCTAAATCCTTTTGTAAAACAGCAGCATCCACCTCACAGCTAGTAACACCCAAGACCTTAATATCATCAGCAAATTTAAGTAATTTATTGACTATTCCTTCATCTATGTCCTTGATATAAATCAGAAAGAGCAAAGATCCTAAGACTGAACCCTGAAGTACCCCACTTGTGACATTAATTCAGATGAAATGGATGCAATGCCAGTGTAACCAAAAACAATTTTGGTGATAATCTGTATCCCAACAAAATAATTGTTATATTAAATAGTTCCCGTGTAGTGTATAATTTATGATTGCCCATCCACAAAAGCTGACTGATTCAGCCTCGCAGTTAGAGTTCAACTGATAAATGCTTGTAACACTTTTTAACTTGAATAATTTTTCACCACAAAAACTGGAAACAACACTCAAACTAAGGTTCATATGTAGCAAAACTTGTTATGGCAGTTTGAACTAGTTGTAAACTCCCACACTACATATTAAATGCTTCATGAATGTAAACTTGATTTAACTTGCAATATGTATTATAAATTCATTGGAAAAGAGCATAGCTTAGTCTTCTAGCCTAGACAGTGAAGCTTTTGTAAAGGCTCACCCTACGTTGACATACCCCATACTACTCACAATTTCCAGATTTTTGTCACACAGTGCTGTAGATCAAGAAGACCACACCCCCTTCACTGTTTTAGTTGACCACACCTACTCAGTATAAGAATTGAGTGAGTGAGTGAGAAGACGTATATATTTTAAAATGGTGTCCCTGTTCAAGGTGTTATCTGATGTACATCAGATATCTCTTCTTTTTGGTGATGTTTAATGTGGAAAAATGCTAGCACTAGCATATGGTCCCTGTGCTAATGTTCTGTTTGGTGAACTTATAACCATGGTAACTGCTTGTTACACAGCTAGAAGCATTCAACAAAGTCAGTTAGCGAGATTGAGAAATTTGTGTTTTTGTGAATTTGTTGTATCTGCTCTGCTGACTTCCTCAAGTGGTTCTATGATTTTTAATTTTGTATGTGGTTTGTTTACCACCTAAGGATGTCTTTCAAATACTTTTGAAGATTTATTACTTGTTTGTTCAAGACCTACATGAGTAAATAGTTTGTATTGTGTATCATACTATAATACTGTACTTATAATAACCTTTCAATCACACAACTGTTAAAGTAGCTCCAAAATGTTGTAACTCAGCCTTGTAGATTATAAAGTAACTTAAAAACTGTGTTATTGGATTATTGATGACTGATAAAATTGTGCAGGTGGGCAGTTGTAACAATATATATGGTGATCTAGTTCTGTAACTAGATTAGTAACTAACATGGTGACTAGGTTGTCAACAATAGCCTTGACTAGCCCAAGAAAGATGCATCAAATTATCCTGGGAACTATATATTTATACATAAATACAACTTACAAAATGCAATTCATGAACATTGGACAAATTACATTAACGTTAATTCTGAGCAGTGATGAAGACAATTAGTATTCCAGACATGTACGTATTCTGCAACCTAACAGTAATGCCTACAAAGCATATGACTGTTGAGTTACATCATGCATGAAATGTAAACAGGAAACTTGTAAGTTATTATTAAAAGAAGTTGTGTTTGAAATATAGTAATGATGTGATCATGGGCATCCTCGGGGCACTTGCCCTCCCTAGAAAATACCTAATTCTTTATTTATTTATTCAGTATATGTATTTGAATTTAGAAGTTTTATTCACTTCACAACTTCACAGTACTTATTTATTCTAATAAATGTCACCAGGTTTGTGAGCAGCTTTACTTAAAATCTCTAGACATCTACTCTTTTAAATATTAAAAAATGTTGCCATCATGATGGCTTCTTGAAAATTGGACATGGCAATTTTCACTCAGGTCATCAAAGAAACCGATGCGGACTTGCCAACATCTCCTGAGCCCTGACACAGAGTGATTGGGATCAACTTATTGCCACCTGCCGGTAATACCAGCGGCAGGTTATCAAAGAGATTGTTGCAGTCTTGTTGTTCTTACCATACTTACACAATAAATGCCATTGAAATATTGTGCTTTATGTGACCTCAAATTACTGTATTCACAGAAGCAGTTGTTTTATACAAGGTGAAGTTATCCTATATGGTTAAGAACCTAAAAGAACAAACCAAAATTTACTATTATGGAGTATATGTAGCTGCAAATTTACAGTGTGACTTAAACTAGCCTTACAAATATTAAACCCATCATATTTACGAGAAAGCTTGATAAATATATAAATGAAGGTCCCGACGCTGGTCCGGGCTTGACCGAGCCGTCGAAGGCTAGCCTCGCCCAGTCCCGGTGCAGTACCACACCCGCGTCGGACTTCAGCCCGACCAGACCCAGCCCTCAGAGCCAATCCTTGTCCCGAGGTTACGGATCCGTTTTGCCGACTTCCC